CTGTTTCGATCTTTCTGCGGCTACGGATCGTTCGATCACTATTGATTCTATGTATATAAGATGAAAATATCCTTTATCCCTCATTCTTGCCTAGGTTTTGAATTTTGAAAGCCCATTTGCTCCGGCCCTTGGTTTTGCTTTTGCCGTTGTTCCTTACGCTTCAGTAAGTTCCTGTGGCTCTTTTCTTTACTTTTGTGCGGTTTATCTTGGTTTGGTAGTGGGTGCGCTTTTGATGGGTGTTGTTGTTTTTTTATTCAAGAGAAGCAATCATGAAACTTTTCCTTGGAGTTGTACTGTAAGGACTGGTTGTGTGTGTTTGTTGTGATACGTGTTCTTGCTTTACAGTCGTTGCCTTGACTCTTCAGTGTGTGTGTTTTTTTTGTTTCCACTGGGTGTCGGTTGGGGTTTGTGAAACCTGGTGTTCTTACCCCCTCTTGTTTGGCTTAATTTTCGTGCGCGGTGCATATAACCACACTTCATGTTCTGAAATTTTCTGTTTCGTTTTGTGCTTGGAAAGTGTAAATTTTGGTACTAAATTGATATTTTCGTTGCCATTTTGATATGAACAACTTCAAGAGGGTGTGTCTCTATCACATCCTAAAACTAAATTGTTTACAATTCAATGTTCCTTCTCTCTAGTGGGTTTTGTGCCTGGTTTACTTATTTCCAGATTGTACTAGAAGCTAATGGTTATTAACCTTACCTCATTTGCCCTGAAAAAGAATTAAGATCTTTAATAAAAGGAGGATTAAAGAGCCTTTTATATAAAGCCTTCTTGTCTTTGCGTGAGTTCAACTTTTGCAAGCTTTCTCAGTTTTATCTTGTAAACTGGATTGATCATGCAAATTTTGACCCAATTTTTAATACGGTATGTTTTCTAAATGAAATTTTCTGTTTCGTTTTGTGCTTGGAAAGTGTAAATTTTGGTACTGGGACATGGGGTAGTGTTGAAGGGGTTTCTGGTAGATTTTGTGTCGGGGTGTTTTGGGGTGGGCTGTGTTATTTTAGTAGGTGTATTGAGCTGTGTGTTAGTGAGGTTACATTGAAGTGATTTTTCATGATCTGCGTTGGGTTTATTCGGGTGTTCCCGGAAACGAATTGCAATTGCGCGTGTTTGTCGTACGTTTCATGTAAGTGTCCTGTCATTTTTTTTCTTACAGCGTTCCAGTTATTGCCAATGTTATGTTTGTTGTGTTTGGTTGCTGTATGCTGTGTTACGTTGGACCTGTGCACCTGTTGCCTGAACTCTGTGTGCTTATGCTGTTTCCTGTGAAAGAAAGATTATGCTTACTTCTTTGGGTTTCCTTTCCCTTGATTGTTATGTTGGGGTGAACATGGTTGGGTAGTTGTTTCTTAGAATATGGTGAAAATATTGTATAGCATTGTGGTGTCCGGTTTCTTATAGGCTGTTGTGGTGTTTTAGCGTACTGTTTTGGTATTTAATGTTCTTGGGGCAACGTCATTACGGATGCCTCTGCGTGGCGGTGCTGGCAGCCGTGTTCCTTTGGCTGACTAGCGTGAACGGCGGAATAAACGACGTCGCATGAACCCTGAAGGCCCGTCTGTTCCTCGGAGTCGCCGCGGTAGTTACTCAGCTGTTACAACGGAACATGCTGAGAGCAGTGAAGACCCTCAAGGTCTGTGTCCTTCCGCACATCTGGCAGTGCTATTTTTAGATTCAAGTTGTTTTCGCCAGCTGGTTCCTGATTTGTTGCTTTTCCTTGGTGAACTATTTATCTCCTTTTGTTCAAACCTGGACTGTTTTCTGATTTTCTATTCCGTGTGCTGTTTACCCACGAAATATTTGCCCATTCTATAATCACTTTTCACAATGATCCATTGATGGTATTCTATATTTATTCTGTTGTGGAATCCATAGCTCCAACTGTCACCGAAACTTATGTCCTTGATATTGTCCCGAATTGCCTGCTCTGTGGGGCTGAGCGCCTGCAGTATGAACCACTAACAATGTGTTGCAGTCGAGGTGAGGTTGTTCTCGTTTCAAGTGACATGCCCCCCCCAACTGCAGAGATTTTTCACATCACACGACCCTGTGTCAAAACATTTTCGTTCGTGTGTGCGAACGTATAATAACACCTTCGCTTTCACATCCATCGGGATTTACAATTATGATAAACAATTGTGCCGCCGCAATCAAGGAATCTACACTTTTAGAGTTCAGGGGCAAATTTACCACTTCATGAATGACTTGCTCCCTGATGGCTGCCCGCCTAGGAACCTGCAGCTGTATTTCTATGATACCGACCATGCGATGGAGGACAGGGTGGAATCCACGACCCGTTTAGATAGAGATGTGGTGTCTATATTGATGGATGTGTTATCTGCCAATCCGTATGCCCAGTTCTTCAAAACACTTGCCGATATTGACCACAATGAAGAATTTTACTTTGTTCTAAACGGAAATCCCTTGCTAGACCATCACGTTTACAACAAACCAACAGTCTCTCAGGTTGCTGCTGTTTGGGTTGAGGACGGATATGAGGGGCTTGCTGCAAATAGGAACATTCGCGTGTATTCGCACAACGGGAGATCTCAGAATGTACATTACTACTATGGATGTTATGACCCGTTGCAGTACCCTCTTGTTTTCCCCCATGGTGAAGTGGGTTGGCATGAGAGTCTCCCTAAAACTGGTTCTGGAATTTCACGCGCTCCGGCCCCTGTTTCCTCATCATTGACCATCAACTGTAATGCGGTCGACTCAGATGAATCTTTGCTTGCGCGTGAGGAAACGTTGCGCATATCGGGTCGAAGCAACCATTCTGTTTCATGTCGTCAGTATTATGCGTATAAACTGCAACTCCGTACTAACTCCCCATCATTCATCATGCATACTGGTAGTCTGTTTCAGCAGTACGTCGTTGATATATATATATATATATATATATATATATATATATATATATATATATAATATAGTATATATATATATAATATAATATAATACTACCTCCGTCCCGTTGGAATGTTCCCACTTTCCTTTTTTGGATGTCCCAATGGAAAGTTCTCATTTCCCTAAATGGAAAGTTATCCCACATCAAAACAGTGTCAAACAGTGCAAAACAGTGTCAAACAGTGTCAAACAGTGTCCAAACAGTGTCCAAACAGTAAAATTTACCCCCTGGTAAGTTTATTTCCTTAATATGTGTGTAGGTCAAACCGGGAACATTCCAACGGGACGGAGGGAGTATATATATATATATATATATATATATATATATATATATATAGGGAGGAGATCACATACAAACACTTCTCCCCATACAAAATGCAAATCAATTTCGTGCGTCCGATTTAGGCAAATCAATGGCCGAAACCATTTTCCTCACCGTTACCTTTCGTGAGCCGCGAAGGAGGAGACCGGGTATTTTAAAAGCCGTTTAGTAATTAAAGGATAAAGATGTCATTTGATTTTTTTTAAATGGAACCGCCATAATACGGAAAAGGAAGGAAATCCCTCTTGCGCATAATCCCCACTTAGATTCGAACCGCCCATGTATAGCAAATCAGAAAAGGGAAAGATGCAGAGGTTTTTTAATGCTCCAACTAGCAAAGGTCTGAGAAGCTGGAAAATTTCCTTGAGAGCGGCGAAAGCTTCAGCGTAGACGAAGAACGTCGTTTGTGAAGAATAACGACCGGTGAAATTCCATTTGCGCAAATGGCTTCAGTTCAAGAAGAACATGCTTTGCGACAAGCCGCTTTGGCGTGCGAAGAAGGTATTTGTGTTGTTTAGATTAATCTGTTTGCATGGAGAATTTTGTATGTTAGATGCACAAAGAGGGATGTGTGGATGCATTTGTGTTTTTGAATTTGAGGGAAAAGTGCATTTTTCACCGAGAATGTTTGTTTGTGTGTTCGTGGTTGGTGAGTGTTACTGATTAGATTAAGTATTGTGAAAAATAGATTACATAAAGGTGCAATAGATTAGAGTAATGTTAGTATCAATGTTGGTTTTTGAGTTCGTGTTTGGTGAGTGAGTATCCTTATTATACAAAATTTTGTTGCAAAATGGATTAGGTAAAGGTGCAATGCATTATACTAATCTTAGTATGAATGTTGGTTTTTGTGTTCGTGTTTGGTGATTGAGTTTGAGTAGATTAGTTATTGGTGCAAAAGGGATTAGCTATTGGTGCAATTTAATTGATATGGTATGCAGACTAAGATTCGTGGGGTGCACTGGAGGCAACTTAGAAGTAATCAAGGGTGCCAGTGAAGATTATGTGTATTGCTTGGGGCAAAATAGCTTAGCTAAAGGTGCAATTGACTTGTGTTTGAGGAAGTTGTGTATGCAGGTTAAAATGCAGATAAAAAAATGGTTGGGTGTGGATGAAAAAACTTAGAAATTACTTAGAGTCAATTTTTATGGTGCAAAAGACATTACGTAAAGCTGCAATTGAACTGTGAAATAAATGCAGACTGGGTTTGTTTTCAAATGCTTATTCATTTTTTGGGTCATGGAATTAATATGCAGATGAAGATTGGTTGTTATGCAAAGAGAGACGTTAGGTGCATTTGGCATTGTTTATAGGTGCATATATTGTTGATAAACATTCATGAGATTTCTGATATCTTAGTGAAGTACTTAAGATTCATGAGATTTTGAATATGTTCATGATTGCATTATGTGTGGCATATCATTAATGGTATTGTTTTTTTTTTCAACAAGGAGTTAACATGCACATGAATGTATTTTGGTGTGCATATGAATGACAGTGTACTAACTAATCTAACTAACTAAGTAGGAACTGGACAAAACCACCAAACAGTTCTACAAAAGAGAAAGAAAGCAGCACCATGTGGGAGTAGTATTGCAAAGAAAAAAGAGGGTGATTAATAAGGGGGAAACAAGTGCAAGTGCAGCCTGATGGTTAGTAAATTTATACTTTCATTGTTTCATTTGTTTGAACTACTGAAATTGAGATACGATTGAAATTTTAGGAGACAAGATTACTGGGCTCATGCAGTTCCGTTCTAAGCTTGAGAAACAAAAGACTTTGAGCATGCAGCGACAGGAAATTAGGAGCAAATCAAGACATGACTTCCAAGGTTAAAAATAGTAAATATTCATTGTATTGAATATTTTATGGTGTATGAATGACAAAAAATTATCCTCAAATGCAGGTGCATTTATAGAAGACAATTTAGGACTTGAGTTGATGGAAAAAGAAGTAGAGAGAAGGTCGAAAAAGGAAAATGAAAAAGTTGCTGCATCCAAGAAATCCGGGAGCATATCAAGAGGCCAATTGAAAGGTTTGATTACAACCAAGTTTCTTTCGTAGATGTGAACTGTTAAGGGGTGCAAATACATATAATATGCAGTGCATATGATTAAGGGGTGCAAACAGAGTATTAAAATGGTGTGCTAATTCATTTAATTCAATTTTAAATGAAATGCTCTTTTCAATGTGCAGGATCTAAGGCTGCTCGTGGAAAGAGAAGCACTGGTCAAGAAAGTGGTGAAAGAAGGAGGAGTGGAAGGATAAACAAGGAGACGGAAGTGTGCAATGAAAACGTTAATGATGTGGTGGTGCCTGATACCGAAGATGGCAGTGAGGCAGACATTCATGAGTGTGAGGAAGCTGGCAGTGATGAAGATTTTGTCAATTTACCAAAACAAGTGGTGAGAAAGGAAAAAGAGCGTGCGGGCAGACCAAAGAAGAAGGAGAAGCAGGCTGTTGTGAATGACTTGAAGGTCCAGTACCACAGCCTCTACACTAGATCATCACCGAATGTGGTGATGAATGCTATTTCGAAATTGAGTCACAAACAGCGAGAACAAGTGCGTGAAGTTGGATTTGGGGCTTTGTTAGACCTAGGAATCAGAGAGTTGCCGTCTAAGCTTGGTTATTGGATTGTGGACAACTTTGACCCAATTAGTTGTTCACTGAAGTTAGGTAAAGGTAGGAAAATTCACATCACAGAAGAAGATGTGGAGCTGGTTCTGGGATTTCCACGCGGTGACAAAGCAGTGTTAAAAAAGGGGAAAGGAGATAAAAGCGAAATGCTGGATGAGTGGAGGTCTTCTTTCGGAGGAAAGGATAAAGTTTTGCCAATAGAGGTGGTGCGTGAAATACTAAGATGTGAGGAAGGTGGAGAATGCTTTGTGCGAAACTTCATAATTCTCGTTATATCGACCTTGATAGAGAATACAAGGAACGGATATATAAACTGCTCCTTCATAAACAATTTGAAGGACACAAAAGGAATCAAAGATTTAAATTGGTGTGAATATGTGATAAAGGCTCTAATTGAGAAGAAAAGAGAATGGGCTAAGGGAAAGGAAAAGGCATTCACTGGTCCGCTCCTTTTCTTGATGGTGAGTACATTGTATTTTAATATGTTTAGGTAGTTCAATGTGCAGTTTGTGTGGTATTTAGGTAGGGTACAGTTTTATAAAAGGTGTGGTGCATGTATTATGTGATTATGCATATTAACGTAGTTGAATATGCACTTTTGTAGAAGGTGAGGTGCATTACTTTAAGATTGAGAATTAAGACAGATGAATTATTGATTTTTTTGATGAATTCGAGTTACTGAAAGTGCATTTCGAGTTACTGAAAGTGCATTTTAATGCAATATTAAGTAAAACTTGTTTGATGGAAAACTAATATGCAAAATGGTTAACCTAAAGATGCAAATCAATGTTCACTGTGCAAACATTACGTGATTGTGCATATTATGGTAGTTGAATATGCAGTTTTATAAAATGTGTGGTGCATGAATTTAAGATTTGTTCATAATACCGATGTATTAGTGATTGAGTTATATATATTGGAGCTTCTGAGAGTGCATTTACAGTTAGGTGAAATGGAGGTGGTAAGGCAATAAGAAGTTATTTGTGTGTGATTGAAAACAATGTGCAAAACAGTTGATTTTAAACTGCAAATAGAATATACATATGAATACCGTTGATAAAGTTAAAGTAATTCTTCATTTTTTTGTAGGTGTTGTATGTGGATAGGGTGGAAGTATATAGAAGAAGTGTGCCTAGGAAGGTTCCCGCTATAATGGGATGGAGCACACAGTTATTGAGGGAGAGGGAATCTGAAGAAGTTGAGGCTGGAGGATTTGGGTTAGGGTATGTAGATGAGAAGATGACAATGAACCAAGGGACAGGGAAAACTGTCACCGTAGAAGAGAGAACCGAGGATGTGGGATAGCCCTCGACGACAACGGGTGCAGAAGAGGTATAGTAAATTATGGCATTTATGTGCTTTCAGGAGACTACATGTCTGGTCCACTTATTTTTATACCTTGCATGGTTATGAATTAGTGAATGTGCAGAATTTTTTTTATTCTTTAAGAGGAATGTTATTAAAGAACCATTTGTCTACCTTGTTTCAAGATTGTTGTATCTAAGTTAGCAAATGCCTAAGTTTTTTTTTTTTTTTTTGCAAATGACAGGAAGTTATGCAACGCTTTGCTAATAAGACCAGCTTATTTGTTAAGACAACGACTGACATCATGAATATGTTAGATGCATCTCCCGATGTACTTCGTGGCAGTGAAGAGTTGAAAGAGTTGGGGCAAGCGGCGAATATGCTCATGGCTGTTTTACAGAAGAAAAATTCTCCGGATTTTGCCACACCTACACAGATGGACAGGGAGATGGAGGTGTTTTGGTCAAACCCAGTCAACCTTGAAATATTAGCTGAAGCTGAGGTGGACGGTATAAAGAGAACAAAGGTTCTTCAAAGGAGGAAAGATATGCCAAACTTTAGTATAGGTCTGACACAAGACGATCCCCCAAATGAAGTAAGCGGTGATGCTCTCATGGGGTTCGAGAAGAACAATATAAATGAAAAGGGGAAGGGAAAAGTCGATGCAAGTGTGCAGATGCCTTTAAATGAGCAAATGGTAGCAGTTGGTGGTCAATCAAGCTCAAATATAAATCATGTGCTGGAAATCAGAAAGGTAATTACAGAAACTACAAAAATCAGTGATTAGTATTGAAAATTTAGCAGTAGTATTTATGTAATTTTTTTTAAAACATTGATGCCAACAGGACATTGAAGAGACAGAAGAATTGGGCCAGCTAAGAAGAAAACAAACGGCTGCAGCAACCCAGAAATCACCCTACGTAAGAAGAGTTATTGATCTAAGTGCTGCAATAACGAAAGATGAACGCGCCATGAGTGATTGGATACTTCTAGACGTTGCTGGAGATGCGTAAGTGCAATGTGAATTACAAAATTCATTTCAACTTTAAACATGGGGGATGATAAAATTGAATGCAACTGATTTCTTATTGCACGCAACCTCTACAGGAATGAGGTTATTTTCAAAGCCCTTAACCAATTGCAGCTTACCCACGGGCAACTGATGAGCATCAAGGATGGTCGACACATCGAGGAAAGTGTAATCAATACCTGGGCATTCATTCTTAACTGTAAAGAGACAGTTAGAAGCAGTGAGTCTACAAGTAGATTATTTGCTAAAGTCTTGCCTTGTGTAAGTACAAATGCACGAAAAAATAAATGTTTTGTTTATGTATTTTTAAATTGTATTTTGAACACAATGTATAAAAAAGACAGTGTGATTTAACTACTTTGGAACTGTGTTGTGTAGCTTGACACACAGGCGGACCTGGGATTGAATGAAGACCGTGCTTACACACTTTTTGTGGAAGCCATTGAGTTTGGGTTGGAGGCAATTAAAGAGCACACTGCACTTTCAAAAGTTGATTTGGTATGCGGTTTTAATGAAATATAATGCATTGCTATTAAATTGTAAATTCTAAAAAATGGGTATTTTGGTGCAGTTCTTCTTCCCGATAATGCAAGTGCATCACTGCTATGTAATTTGTCTGAATACAAAGCTGAAGCGTGTGGATATCATTGACAGTTCATCAACTAGCGTACGCAAATTTGATAAATACGGGGAAATGCCTCAAAACGTGGTATGAAATAAAATTATGTAACTAGTACTTGTGGTAAGGTGCATTGTCGTTCTAATTTTGTAAGTGATAAATGAAAATTACAAGGCTAAGCAAAACTTTGTGCAGATAAATATGTTTGTGAAGTACATGGATTCAAGGAATATGATGACCAAATCTGATAAAGTGAGGAAGGCAACACCGAAGAGGCTAGGAATGGAGTGGAGGCAGACGAAGAACATTTATGACTATGGCATCTTCACAATGCGGCATATGAAGGCATATCAAGGTCAAGGCTTGCAAGGATGGAATATTGGGCTAAAGGAAACCGACACCAAGCTGGTAGGGACGTTACGCGTGAAGTACATTTCTGCAATTCTCCTGAATGAGAAGAATGAGTACATGCATTCAAACTTGCTGAAGGCAAAGAATTTTCTCAAGAAAGCTAAAGAAGAGAATGAAAAGGTGGGAGAGAAGAAGAAGGGAGCAGCGCCCAATTAATCAATTCAGCGAAATTTGAAGTTGACATCAGTTTGACTATATTAAAATTACAGTTTACAATGACTTATTCACATTATTTTTAATAAAAAACATATTTATGCTTACTATTTGTGTGTGAAAGTTGACGTTGAATATAGTTGGTTTTAATATATGTTCCAGGTTGACATGATTTTATAATGGGAAAAGGTGCAAATAGGCCCATGTACTAACCAAAAAAGGTCAAATAAGCCCTTATTTAGGAGGCTCTGTCCGGCCGTCGCCATTTGGGGTGGTTCCCGGTGGAATTTTCTGATGAAATTTTTTGAGCATCTTATTCATCATGTCTAGTTTACTCATACCAAATTTCAGCTAAAACTTCAATCGGGAAGACATTCAAATGAATTCTTGAAAATAACTGCGCAGTTAGAAGCGCAGTTATCTTCAAGAATTCATTTGAATGCCTTCCCGATTGAAGTTTTAGTTGAAATTTGGTATGAGTAAACTAGACTTGATGAATAAGATCCTCAAAAAAATTCATCAGAAAATTCCACCGGAAACCACCCCAAATGGCGACGGCCGGAGAGAACCTCATAAATAAGGGCTTATTTGACCTTTTTTGGTTAGTACATGGGCCTATTTGCACCTTTACCCTTTTATTTTAATTGGATTTATGCTTGTATTTAATTTAATTTAAATTGAAGTATGCTTGGTTTAAAGTTAATTTAATTTAAATTGAATTATAGCTTGGATTCCAGGTTCCGGAATAATATTTGTGTGTGAAAGTTGACGTTGATTGTACTTGGTTTTAATATATGTTCCAGGTTTACATGAGTTTATTTTATTTGGATTTGTGCTTGTAGTTAATTTAATTTAAATTGCATAACATCCTATATTTCGAAATGGTAATTACTTTTGCATGGGATACATTTTGTCCATGTACAGAATACAAAGTAATTTACAATGAAGCTTTGTGTTGGAACGTATTGTTTTGTTGATGACAAACAACTAGTGTTACTTTTGGTTGTAAGTGACTACATGAAAAGAGTTTAAGTCGTGCTCTGGAACAAGCCGTAGAACTGGTCCGAGAACTGCACCGTAAATCCAAGATTGATTAATCCGGCTTGCTTAAAATATCTTTTCTCTCCATTTAATTTCGGATCTATCTTGCTAAATTAAAGAGAACCTTTTAAGCAAGAAAATAATCAATGATCATACAAAGAAAGGATTTTTTCTTTAAAGGAAAGTTATTTAAATCAAAGGCATTAATTAAGAGATATTTCTACAAAGCAAGTTTCCAAAATAATTGTTGTTATTCAAAATTCAAAAAGGATTTTCGTGCATATCTTCTCACAAGGAATGTTTCCTTAAGAAAAATGATTTCCTTCAATCAAATAAAAAGAATATCTTTTAATACCTATAAGGAAATATTTTTGAATGATTTCCATGCAAGAGGACCGAAATATATATGGAGATCCGAGCTATTAAAGATAGTACATCAAGTCCTGATCTTGCCCATCTAAGAAGACCGATCTCAAAGGAAAGAATCTGTTGAGTATGTAGTTTTATTAATGACTAACTATGCAGGTGGAACAGCGGACGGAACCGCTCTCAGTTCCATACGGAACGGAAGACAAAATTATTCTTAATTGTATTCTGTGTGAACGGTTGATTTACATGGTGTATGATTTAATTAATATGTGCTTTCCTTATATGAGTGCTTATACTTTGTCAAGAATATTATTTTAAGCAAAAATATATTTTCATGCATGATTTATTATTATAGCTTATTATTTTATGGAAAGAATCCTTAATTGATTAGCTAGTTGATTGTGCATACCTATTTAACAAATATTCTCCTGCATATTATTTGAAATATGATCCGTTGCATGCTTGCATAGTTTAAATGAATAAATAACTTCCCTTGATATGTATTGATATATATCTTTGTGGAATTATTACTAAATGGTTGATCACATAATATGCTCTATACCTTTTTGACTTGCTCATGGTATGCACGTATCCTCCTGCTCCCATATATATGGTTGACCAAGGACCATCATAATTAAGAGCTAGAAGATCCTTAAATAAAAGGAAAGCATTTTGAATAATTTCAAGGCAAGTTCCTCAACCATTCAAGGAAAGAAGTGTCTCAACGGATCCATTCCTAGTAGACTATATAATCGAGATCAAGAAGAAGAAGCAGGGTGTGCTTGACCGAGAAAATATCAAGAGAGATACTCGAGAGAAATACAAAGTTCAAGGCACCTGAAACTGCTCCCGGAGTTCTAGACAGAGTTCTTATTCTCTTCCTATATTGTAATTGGGTTATTGAGGATTAGCTAAGTGTAGCTTCCTCGGGTTGGGTAACGTGTGTTGTGAGAGCTTTGTTGTAAAGCTGAGAGGCTCTCTACCCGCAAGGTAGAGAAGCGTAACTCTTCCTAGAGAGGATAGAGTTGGGGTGGCTCAAGGGTAGACTAAGAGAGTTTCCCTTGTAATCATTCAAAGGCTTTTTAGTGAAGTTGTTAAAATTCCTCCGAGGGAGGTCGAGGTTTTTTAATCCCTTTGAGCCAAGGGATTTTTCCTCGTTAAATCCTTGTGCACTTTACTATTTCGCAATACCCTTCACCCCGCACTAGAACTGGGCGAAAAACTGCCACGGTTCCACACACACAATTCACCCCCCCTCTTGTGTTGCTAACCGTTTTCATCAATTGGTATCAGAGCCGGTCTTCACCACATAGAGGTTAATACCTTGGGAAGAGATCCGGCAAAATGAATACGGTTGACCGATTGGAAGAAGGTTACTCGACTCAACGACCACCATTGTTCAATGGGAAATACTATCAGTTCTGGAAGAGTCGGATGGAGAACTTTATCAAAGCCGATAATTATCAAGTATGGAATGTGATAGAAGGTGGCGACAATGTCATCACAAAGCTAAACGGCGAAGGTAATGTTGTTCCTAAACCTAAATCTGAATTTACTACTGATGATTATCAAAAACTCGAGCATAATGCCCAAGCACTAAAATATTTGATTTGTGGACTTGGTCCTGCCGAACACAACCGGGTTCTAGGATGCAAGTCTGCCAAACAAATGTGGGATTTGCTCGAGGTTACTCATGAAGGTACCTCACGTGTAAAAAAATCTAAAATTGACATATTTATGCGTAATTACGAATTATTCGTAATGAAGCCTGGAGAGTCAATTAAGGATATGATTACACGTTTTACTAATATCATCAATGAGCTTTCAGCCCTTGGAAAGGAAATTACTGTGGAAGATCAAGTGAGAAAAATTTTGAGAAGCTTGCCCTCGGTATGGAAGCCTAAGACCACGGCTATTGAGGAAGCAAAGGACCTATCCACCATGACTCTTGAAGACTTGACCGGTTCACTCTTGACATATGAGTTAGGGCTTCAAGAAGAGCAAGACGCTGAGACTGTAAGGCGAGAGAGAGGAATTGCTCTAAAAGCTCGAGAAGAGGAGGAAGAATCCGAAAGTGAATCGGAAGATGAGATGAGCATATTTGCTAGACAATTCGGGAAGATGTACCGACGGTTCAAGAACAACCGGAACAAACAAGGTAAAAATAACTTTCGATCTTTTAATAACCAAGGCTGTTTTGTTTGTGGTTCCCTTGAGCACAGGGCTAAAGACTGTTCACAAAAGAAAAATGACCGGACCTACGACAAGAACAAGTCCAGTTCTAACCGGAGGTCCAGCAAAGACAAAGGGTTCAAAAGAGATCTCAAAAGGGCAATGATGGCAGCATGGGGAGACTCATCCGATGACGAAGAAGAGGAGAGAGATAAGAACTCTAACCATACAGGTCTATGTCTTATGGCACACTCCGACGAGGAATCCGACCAAGAGAGCTTCGAGGTAAACTTTGAAAATTTTCTATCTAAGTTTGACTCTCTATCCAAAACCAAAGCCCGGAAAATTTTCAAAAGATTGACTATTGAGCTTAATCAAAACCTTTCTGAAAATGATCATCTTAAATCACAAATCACTGAGCTTGAGTCTAAACTCGAGGAAGCCACGAGAGCCAAGATAAGGCTTGAAACAAAAGTGGGAGAGTTAATAGATGAAAGGCTTAAGTACAGTGAAGTGGTTTTAGAACAAGATCAAATCATTTGCTCTCTTAAGCTCGATAGTATGAACAAACAAGTTAATCATGATGAAAAACTTCTCTCAAAAATTCCGAGCGTTGGTACTTTGATTGATCATCTTCATCGTCTTGTTGCCGAGTGTACAGATTTTAAAAATAGACCGGAATACCAAGCATATAGTGCTACGAACAAAACCAGGTCTAGACCTTATTCTGGAACTGGTCCCCCTAGGCACAATAAGAAGGAAAACGAGACTGCTGGTCTCGGTTATATTCCAAGGAACACTCAACCTAATAAAAAACCTGATTTTCAGAACCGATCCTTTAATGGAAATAGAACCAGAGGACAACCCAGTTCTAGACCATATCAACAACCACCTAGAACTGGACCAAACTGGTTCGATAGACTGGTTCAGAGGCACAAAAACGGTTATGGACAAACGCCAAACCGAACTTTTCATAAGAAAACAAGAGGCTTTTATGGTAAGTGGAAACCTAAATACGTTGATACCTATGACAACCGAGTTTGCATGCATTGTGGCAAAATCGGGCATCTTCGGTATCAATGTCACTCTCGACAAAAGACCTTAGAAAGATGTTTTGACTATGTTCGATATCCATCCTCAAACAAATACAAAATGGAACCCAAGCAAGTCTGGGTTCCACGGACTAACCCGTGATTCAAGAACAGCGCCAAGTGAGGGGGAACAATCATTGGTTCCTTGACAGTGGTTGTTCTAAGCACAGGACTGGAGACTCATCTTTATTCCTCTCACTTCGGCCATTTAGTGGTGGGAAGGTGATATTTGGAGACAAAGGCAAAGGAGAAATTGTAGCCGTGGGAAAAACCGGAAAATCACCCAACCATTCAATTGATTTTTTTAAGGTTTTAAGTTCAATTTGCTAAGTATCTTTCAATTCTGTGACAAAGGTAACAATGTTATTTTGAATAAAGAGTATGTGCTTATAATTGTTGATGATTTCTCAAGACATACTTGGACTATCTTTCTTGATAGTAAGAAAGATACTTTTAATGAGTTTGTTATTTTTTGTAAGAAAAGTTGAGC